AAGTAGAATTTGAGAACCTTATTTTCGTGGTTTTGGACGAAATAAAATATCATGGTTAATAGAAGAATTGGTGAAGCATTTATTAATATAACAATATATTAAAACATGTCATAATTCAAAACACTTGTTTTTAAAGTGAGGTATATTTTTATGGTTATTTCCACTCTTGTGAGGATGGATTCTGCTATCCTGGACATCTACGAGGAGTACTATGGACATTTGACTTCTAGGATCAAGGATATAGAGTCTTGTCTTCTTAGGATCTCTTCATCATGTGGTGATTCAAGGCTAAAAGGAGTCACAGAGGTTAGTGGTATGAAATCTTAGTAGGACGACTGATGAATCTTGAGCAGATCTCAGATCACAGATTATCACTTGGTACATGTTCTAATACAAGTTTCTAGTAGAATTTCATGTATTATTCAAAAATAAAATTTGCATTATCAATGCAGACAACTTGATTGATTATCAGGAGAAAAACAAGAGGGATTAATCAGGATCAACAATCTAATTGTAAGAGACTAATAACTGTAAAAATAATTTAAGAATTGTGATTGTGGCGTCATTCGTACTTCAAGATAACTGTAACAAATGGACCAATTCCGCCATAAAATAGACCAATGTTATAACAAAGCTATGCTATGTAGCAGTTTTCATATAAAGTGGTACTAAAAACTGTCAAAAACCTATGTGCTTGCTGTGTAGTCAGGCGTTTGAAGTAAAAAACCTGACCTAGAAAATGCACAAATGTCAAAAAAAAACATTCCATCATAACTTTGAGATATGGTTTGATAACATATGAAATGCAATTTCATTTTATATGTGGAACGCTTGATCGAAGAGCAAAAGCTTGGCATCTTGACAGTATTTAGCAGCATTTTGTATGAAAACTGGTACGTAACATAGCCTTGCCATAACATTGGTCAGAATCGGAGCATACATTTCAATTCCTGTAAATTTCATGTGTTAATGGTGCATTATAAGAACCTGGGACCAGATACAAATGAAATTGGAATTTATGTGAATTATGGAATGGAATTATCCATTACCCATAATAAAGTAATATCACAACTGTAACTACAAGTTGGTTCTAATACAGTAGAACTCCAATTAATCCGAATTAATGGGGACCGGGACCGCATTCGGATAATCAAATATTCGGATTTTTTTTAAAAAATTGCCATTGGAGAGAAAAAAAAGTTACGGTTTTGATCTTGCAACTATTTTTTTTATTGAATTAAATGAAAAAACATGACATTTTCACATGTTTTAAATATAAATAACATGTACTTATGTACAAGTTAAATAATAAAATTATTGTTTTGTAAACATTCCGTCAAATCAAACAAACATGTGCCTACACTGGCTTTAGCTGGTGGAAGATAATAGCGCACTTAGACTTTTTTTTGGACAATTTTTTTCTGAAAGTGATTCGGATAATCGGGGCGATTCGGATGTCGGATTCGGATAATTGGAGTTCGGATGATTTGAGTTCGGATGATTGGAGTTCGGCTAATTGGAGTTCGGATATTGGAGTTCTACTGTATAAAAAAAATCTATTATAGTCCAGGCGCTGTAGGCATCGGTATGCATATATATGAGCAACCGCCAACTCTCTTCACATTTTTTATTTGAGATAGCCATAAAAACAGAAAACCCATGTTACCAGTTGGTTTTTGTTCGTTAACATTTGCTTTTTAACCATTTATAACCTGCGCCGAGAGTTTCACAGCGCTTATATTAAATAAAATATTGATATATCAATGATCTAAATAATATATTATATTATATGATGTTATTACGAATAAAAATAAAACCTATAGTTTTATACTGGCTACGTCCGCATGGAGGCTTGGGTCAGCAAAAGGCAGGTACAGGGAATACGATCAACGTCGAAGCTGGCAACATGGATTTTTCTTTTATTTTTGCATCTCAGGTAAAAGAATCTGAAGAGAATTGGCGGTCCTCATAATATGCATACTCCATTGCATACAGCACCCGCTCTATTACATATTACACAATAATATCAGAAGTATTACTGAATTCACTCACCTTTTGGTAACAAAATCTTGAAGATTCACAAAAAATATATCTATATCAGTCAATCTTTTCACTCTTTATCAAAATAATAGCTGAATCTCGTAGGAAACTAAATCATGTCATAATTGAAATACTGAAATGAAGCTACATTTATAAGCCCGAATAAAACATTTCACTAAGCAGGTCCAATAGAATCTTATAAGAATTAATTTACGATGTGCGAAAAACATGCACAATATTGATAAAATTATAAAAAGATTTCAACAAAACACTGTATTAATATATAGATTTTCCAAGATAAAGTAAGATTAACTAACCATAAACAAATGTGAGCGATTAAAATACATTTGCTGGATTTGGTTCCAGGATATGTCAAAAATATTTGATTCTAATAGGTTGGTAAACATTAAAAATTGATTATAAAATGGTACAATATATGTTGACTGTGAAGTTAGTATTAAACCTTTTTAGTTTTGAAATGTTCATTTGACATTTAAAATAAAATAATAATTAATTAATAAAGATTAATTTAAATTTTAATGACTCTAACCACTTAATTTAAAGTGTGTGCATTCAAATTGGTAAAAGTAAAAGTGAAACAGTGTTGACATTCTTGGACTATTTTGTTCTACATGTTTGAGTAAGGTAAGAATTTTTATTTTGGAATCTTACTAGAGTAAATATTATTTATTAATTTATAAAGTAATTTATTACTTTTCTTTTATAACGCATAATATTTTATAGTCACTCTATGACCTTATCTACAAATTATTATTAATGTATCACCATTTCTCATAAGATTTTTTATGACTTTGCATCATGAGCTGTTTTATCCTAGATTGTCTATCTGACATAATCTAGCAAGGTATGTAGTTTATTCAAATACAATTTATCTTAATGTCTTTACCACGTATTCACCCCTAGTAATTAATGCTACGGCTTTCATAAGATTTTCATTTTGGTAATGTATTAAGATTGTGATTGATATCATTTTTGCATCAATCAACGAATCGCTAATTCTGCATTGGCTGCCTATAACTTTATGATTGCGTATGTTCTTATAACTTCTCGCATAGCCTAGATATGTTAACTTTTATTAATATAATCTAGGTTATACTACTACTCTCATAATTTTTTAATATTCTTTCCAAGAATCCTTATTTCTACTTGTTTGTTTTTAGGTTTTTGTAGACAATATAAAAACGTTTTTTTTTGGCTATTTAATCAATTACAGTAGTTTTCTTTCTGCACATATTTTGCAAATCAAAATATTTGTCCAATTTTTCTGCAAATATTTGTTTGTACGTAATGTATAATGTTGCAACAGCATAAAATAAAATTTTAAAATAAGACGTCATCATTGTGAACAAATACATTTTTTTAAATATATGAATTGATTATACATAAAAGGATAAAATATATAAATCATAACATTTAATAGATTATATTCTTATTGATTACATTGAATTTTACCTATTAACATCCAGCACCTTTATATCTAATTAACTTTATTCTAAATTCAAAGAATATACTACAAAAATGAAAAATGTTTCTGCTTGAATCATAAAGTTTGAATTTTGTACAATATATTTTCTAGAATTCTTATCTATTTTAATACTTTCATAAACTGGCTCATATGATAACAATAAAATTGACTTCATTATGCAATGTCCAGTATAAGGACAACGTCAGATTAATAAATCCGTTTTAATTCATAGTAAATGTGCAACAGTTTAATATATTTCTCCATATTTATAATGATTGATTTTTTCGCACAGACTTTCTTAAACTACTCGCATTTGTTTTTTACTGTAATCATTATTTGGTTCGTTTGATGAATTAAATATAATGCGCTTGTGAACACTGAATTTGCTCTGAAAATAAAGATATTTGTTAAATGTGCAATATTTTCATGTAATCAGTTTTTCTCATAAAATAAGCAACAAAACTCACTGTCCCTCCTTGAAATACTCTTTCAAAGTATTACTAAATCTTTTTGAATACTTCACAAATTCACGTTTACGTTGCTCCAAGGCTTGCTTTGCTGGAGATCCTGGTAGAAAACCAGAAACATCATTCACAGCATCCAGAAGCTTCTTTATAGCACTGGCAATTTCCCTATAAAAAGTTATATTTTGACATTCACGTAACAATAAGGTTACTTAGATTAGTTTTACATTTAATTAGATTTTTACTTGATACATACTTGATAGTTTCAAGAAATGTTTTTCTATCTGTAATCTCATCTGGTATTCGACTTAATATCCGTTTTAAAGCAGCCGATTTTCTGTTTAATTCTTGAAAGGCATCTTCGGAACGACTTAATTTATATTCTACAACTATTAAAAAATTCAGTTAATTTTAGAATTACAATCAGTAATTCTCTAATATTTTAATAATAAATTTTTCTATCTCTAATTTTCTTTTCATACCATCAGTGTCTGAAATCTGCCCTTGCAATCGCAATATGCTTTCATTGACATTAAGATTGACTTCAGCTCGTCTCAATATACCTTGCACAAGTTCTAGACTTAGGCCTGGGTGTGCACTTTCGGCTTTTGTCAATGCTGATCTAAGTGTTTGTGAAGCGGCCCTGTCTCTTCTTTCAAGCTGTAAATTATTGTTAATCATCAGTAATCATAGATGACACAAAAAACTTATTTTTCAAAATAAAATTATTGCCTTATTGTATAATAACAATAAATAATAATGAGTGGCTCGCCATAGGACAGGTCTGAAAGCTGAGTTAAACTTCAACTCGAACCAGGATAGAATAGTGAAAGCCCTTTTGCTATTACACACCGCATTGCCTGGAAACAGGCTAGTTTCAATTGGAAAAGTACTTTCGACCTATATTTTCAAGTAACAATTGATATCACTGCAGCATAATATAAAGGGGCTTGAACGACCTTGTCAATATACAAGAACGCTTTACTGTTATGCGATAGAAAACCCATTTACTGCAATATCAGTATCTATTACAATTTTAATACTTGGAATCACATTTTTATGAATCTCAGTCTTAATGAATTTCGAAATATCTACAATTGTGATCCATATATTGATCATAATCCTTTTTCGAATCATAATGAATAATATATCACTATATTTAAATAATGGATGCAATTGCTAGCCTTAATATTATAATACTATTGTAATTATTGATTGTAATCCTCTTTCTATAGTGCTATCATCTTGTTATTATATAACACTACATTTCCATATTGAACAAAATACATCCACTAAAAAATTTTTAGTCTTGATCTTGTAAAACTATTTTAAATATTGATCGTAATACTTTTTTGGTAGACCTATCATCTTGTTATAATTTAACACTATTATATTTCAATAACTGATAAAATACATCTATTGGGAAATTATTAGCCTTGATATTATAATACTCTTCCAGATATTGATCGGGTACGGTAGTCCTATCATCTTGTTATAATGTAACACTATATTTCAATAAGTGATATAATACATCTATTGGGAAATTGTTAGCTTTGATTTTATAATACTCTTGCAGATACTGATTGTTATACTTTTTCGGTAGTCCTATCATCTTGTTATAATGTAACACTATATTTCAATAACTACTAAAATACATCTACTGGGAAATTTTTAGTCTTGATCTTGCGATACTATTGTAAATATGATCAGAATTCTTTTCGTAATCCTTTATTGCTATTGAAATATTGTGTTATATTTTAACAAGATGATAGGAGTCATCTTGTTATAATATAATACTATAGTTCAATAATGGATAAAATATATCTATTAGGAAAGTGCTAGCCTTGATATTGTAGATAATGATCGTAATACTTTTTCAGTAGTCCCATCATCTTCTTATAAAGTAACACTATATTTCAATAACTGATAAAATACATCTATTGGAAAATTGCTAGCTTTGATATTGTAATACTATTTTAGATACTGATCGTAATACTTTTCAGTAGTCCTATCATCTTGTTTTAATGCAGCACTATATTTCAATAACTGATAAAATACATGCATTGGGAAATTGTTAACTTTGATATTATAATGCTATTGCAGATATTGATTGTAATACTTTCTGGGTAGTGTAGTCCTATCATCTTGTTATAATGTAAAACTATATTTCAATAACGGATAAAATATAATACATCTAATGGGAAAATGTTAGCCTTGATACTGTAATACAATGGTAGATAATATATGTTCATGAATATATAGAAAATATTGTATTGCAAATAAAAACAACTGAACATTTAGCATTATTATACCTAAAGTTTACCTGTGAAAGAATTGGGCGTAATAGAACTGGAAGCACAAGGGAAGTGACAGGAGCTTCATCGCCCATTGTCATATTTGGTGTTTATATTTGAAAATTCTTGATAAGATATAGTAACAAAATTTTCTAGCATCGGATACTATATTTAAATTTTATTAAAACCCACACAACAGTCTTTGTTTTCAATATTATTGACAAACGTTCACAAATTCCTTTCGTGCGACTGCTTTGACATTTGTGACTGTCAAAATCAAAATGTCATACTGCAGAACTGTCAAAAAGAGAAAGTTATCGAAGAAATGAATATGAAGATGTTATAAAAATTATATTGAATTAATTAATAGAAATGATATGATTTATTGGTGTATTTTATACTCTTTTCAATCGTTAACAATAGATTTTTAACAAGTTTTTCTGCAGGCACGTGCCAACATTATGTCAAAAATGACACTCTGTCTGTAGATTATCTAATTCCTAACCTCAAAAATATTTGCTTACACCCGATCATACTTCTGAGAATACTGCCTTAAAAATGAGTTATGATCTACAGAATGAAGAAAGTGTTAAAGAATATTTAGAGAATTTGGGTATCGAATATAGATTCGGTTGTTATCACGAAAAAAAGCCCGAAGTTTGCCATCTACTAGCAGACTATTTCGAAGCAATCAAAAAAGACTTCGAAAAAGCTGGCAAAGTTTACCAAACTAATTGTGATGACTCCGGACATGGTAAATCTTGTTTCAAATTTGGCAGCTACTCTCTTCTCGGTAAGGGTGTGAAAAAAACTGATCACAAAACGGCTGTGAACTACTTCGAGAAAGGATGCAAATCTGGTGATCCTGATGCTTGTCTGTATGCTGGTCTTATAAGAACATCTAATACGCCAATACCTGAAGTGGATCACCAATTTGAAAATGGTCTTCGAATGCTAGAAAAAAGCTGTGATAGTAAAAATGGCAATGCTTGTTATTATATGTCCGGATTATACATGTCGGGTTATGATAGCACTAAATTTGCTAATAGAACAAGTGAAAAGGACTCAAAGAATATTTCCAATTTTAAACTTTTGAAAGATATGAAAAAAGCATTTGAATTTTCAGAAAAAGCTTGTGCATTACGAAACATTTATGCTTGTGCTAATTTAAGTCAAATGTATCGACGAGGAGATGGTGTTGTTCAGAATGATGAACTTGCAGATAAATTTAAACAATTAACTTTAGATATGCAAGATGAAATAAAAAAGCAGCAACCAGAATTGTCTTTCCAACAGTAATGTTGTTTGTATATTTTTTTTATTCATTATAGTAATTAGAAACTATAATATGTATTATAAAGTTGTAGATGAGCATTTGTATATTGATAGTTATATTTGTTTATATATTTATAAATAAATATTAGATTCATTAAAATGATATTAGATGAATACTTGGAATTATTATTTGTATTTAAAACCCTTTTTAAATCCATTTGCTCAAATCCTTTGATATCGGAGTATTCTGAAACTTACTGTGTTTTTGGTTAGTGGACCATGTCTATATATATCATTTATCAGTTTATCTTTTGCGAATTTTCTAGATGAGCAACATCAAATATGATTATGAATACTTAATAATTATTTCATCACAGTTACAACATTTAAATAATTGTCACTACAGCTTAATATAAACAAGTATATTTTAAAAGAAAAAACAAGCAACAATTTAAGAGACAGAAAAAATATTAAAAATAGTTTCCATTTCTGCTATGAATGTTTCAATTGACTGAAATATAAAAAAAATATTTGGTTATTGACATTCGAAGCTTATAAAATTAAATTAAACTATTTGAGGATTCGGTTTCAAATATCTTCATTCAATTCTATATTTGATATCATTTTTAGTTTTTTTTAATTTGATATGATATTTTTTAATTTTCCGTAGAGTTATTGTAATCGTGTAAAAATTGAAATTGAAAATATTTACCTTTCTTCACGTTTTGAAGGTTTCTGAACATTTTGGTATACCTAAAAAAAAATGGATGTGTGTGTGTATGTATGTATGGATACAATTTTTCGTCCACGTTTTCGGGCGCACGGATCAACCGATTTGAATGGTTCAAAAAAACATTCGATTTCTATTGATAGGGAGATGTGTTGATTAAATTTTGACAAAGACAGGTCCAGCCGTTTCGGAGATACGGAGCAAAGAGTGCAGAAAATAGAAATCGGGTTTTTGAGAAGTGGTGATTAGTTTTTGGCAATGGCAGGTTTAGCCATTTTGAAGATACCTAGCTAAATGGGCAAAAAATGGCAGTTTTTTATTGAACTAAGCATCCAATTTGAATGATTCAAAAAACTTGTGTTGATTTAGAAAGTAATATTGTCACTAAAATAGTAAATCCAAAGTTAAAAACATTACTCTAACTAATTATAAGAGCTTATTTACCTTTCACCGAATTCATAATCTACTACGATTGTAATAATTTAATTGTAAATTTTTAGAATTTTATGACAAAAAAGCGCATAAAATTTAAAGTGCAAAAAGTTATATAATCACACGATCTGAAAGATTTATGGATATGACATAATTGGGAACAAAATCAAGAGCAATGTTAAAAAAGAGAACTGAATATCATATCGCGATTTAAGCAATGATGAATATTGAATTAGATTGAGGAACTAATTAATGTAGAAGTCTGAACGAAATTGAACGTATATCGAAATATATGACGAAAAGAGAGGTCTATAAGTGACTATATAAAAACTGAACAGTGATCGATTATTTCATTCTGAAACTCTCATTCATAAGAAATTAACAGATCTACAATGAAATTTCTAGTAAGTTATTAAATAATTAAATAAATCAATATGTATATTAAAAATTTATACTTTATAAATTATATAACATAGATTGTACTAGTCGTTGTTGCCTCTGCTGTTTACGGCGAAAACGATAAGAAAATCTCCAAACGCGGCCTTCTAGGTTTAGGAAACACTGGATTGCACGAACCTGGATTGGATTACGGTGGATTATCCGGCGGTCATGGACATGCATTGAGTGGCGGATTTTTAGGTGTTGGTTTAGGCGGAGGTTTATCAGGTTTGGGTTTAGGCGGTGGAATCTAGTAGCTGCTGGATTACAATCCTCTCACAACTATCAAGTCAGCCACACCGTATCTGTAAACCGAGTAGCAATTCCAGTAGCTCAACCAGTTCCAGTACCAGTAGAAAGAACTGTTCATGTCCCATACAAGTGCCTGTTGCCTACCCAGTCGACAAGCCCTATGCTGTCCACGTCCCCAAACCGTACCCAGTCCCAATTGTTAAGAATGTGCCAGTCTCTGTAGATCAGCCTTACCCCGTACAAGTACCAGTCCCTGTCAAGGTTCCAGTTATCCACAAAATAGCCGTTCCAGTGCCAGCTCCTTACCCTGTTCCAGTACACAAGGCTGTCCCAGTTCCAGTACACACCCCAGTTCTAGTCAAACATCATTTACATCACGATTATTCAGATCATTTTGGTCACCATTATTAGCAAAAATAGTCTTAAGTATTATATAATTTATAGTAAAAAATATATATTATTTAGTTAATAAAAAAATTAATTTAAACTTATGTTTATCTATTTTTTCTTAATTCGATTATTGCATTTAATAGTTAAGTAATAATCATATTGAGCAATTTATTTGTTATTTAAGCGATTGAGCAATATTTATTTTTGGCAGATTTACTTGTTTTAAATAAATTTGAGATTTTGGCAGATCAAATTCTTTAGATGGTTTAAACAAATTTCAGGAAATACTCATACTCATCATTTCAAAAAATAATCTTACACTCATGATCTTTCCAAATATGATGGATTCACAAAGTTTTCTACGGAATATTAATATTATATTTATAAAATTTATAATGATCTTAAATCATAATTAAATTTTGATTAATTTAAAAATTTGATAATTTTCATAAATTATTAATTCGATTACGTTAATAAATTTTGTACGATTATTATCGGTCAAGTCGATACGTTGGAAATGAAAGCTACAATCGCAATTTTATGTCAATTTAACAAAACTCTCGCACACATATTGATTTCAATAATTATTGTTTTCGATAAATATGAAATAATAATAAATTAAGATTGAATGAATGAAGTTGTATGTAAATTGCTCATGGATAAAAAAATATTCTAAAAGTTACAAATTCCATAATTTTTAAAGACAAAATTTAAATAAAGTTTAAAAATTCAAATAACAAATGCTTGAATTCAAAACAGTTGATGATGTTCATCTTCTACAGTTAAACTAGTTTTATTGGTATTTTGCCTTAAGGCAAGTTGCATCAATAAAAAATAAATTAATTTATGAGTGATTAAAGTATGAAAACGAACGAACACGTTAACTCAGAATATTTTCTAAGAAATTAAAATTTAAAAAAATCAACAATTTTTATAATTGAACCAGTATCCGTAAAACTTTAATGGTTTAGTGTGTTCATTAAGACCAAGTACTCTATTGTTATACCAAGTAAATAGTCTATTTTTAATTTGAACAAACGAAGAAAAGACTACTCATTTTCTCAAACTTTGACAATTTTTAAAATTAAACTACATGCCGTAAGGCCGTAATATTTCAGTCAGTTCTATAAGACCATGATATATATCACCAAAAAAAAGTTTCATAAAAATCGGCTTAATTTTTTTTCAACAGTTAATTACAAGAAAACAGCTCGGTAGATTTTCGCCTAAAACTAATCAGTATCATTCCCAACTAATATCTTTCGATAGTTTTTGATTTTTCAAAATCGATTCGGTAGTATGAGCTTAAAACGTTTACACTTTTTTCCAAATGACAAAGAAACGCACACACATACTTTTTCCAAATTTGGTCTCATTCGATTCAGAATGGCTTGAAACGCCGAGAAAACTTAAATTAGTGAATCGGATTTTTTTATGAAAACATAAACTTCTCCTTCGGGAGGTTAATAATTATTTTAGGAATTTGTTTGGACTGAACCCTAAAAAATGATCTGTTTATTTACTAATCAAAGATATAATAATTAATTAATGGAGGAACAAAACTAAAAACTATTAAACAAAACTTTTCTCGACAAACTTGTTTGTTTAATTATATGAGATTTAAATTAAAGGCAGCTCATTAAATATTTATTTTTCTTTTGCAAAAGTGAATAAAATCGACTGCATTATTTTGACAAAAATATCATTTATAACCTAATACTAATTTGTAAATGGTATTTATAATATAACAGATAACGCCATGAGTTATTAATCAAACTTGAAACTTTTATTAGATTAAAGTGCAAAAATGTAATCAATTGATTTTTGACTTACATAATCGATATTAAAGGAATAGTAGGACTGTTTCCTCCTAATACTTACAATAATAAAATAAAAATACATTTTTTTATAAATTGTTTTATTTTAAAACGTGATTTATGAATTACAAACTACATAACTATTTAATTCTAAATTATTCTAATAGTGGTGAGCGAAATGGTGATCATGATGATCGTGGTGTAAATGATGTTTTACTAAAACGGGTGTGTGTACTGGAACAGGGACAGCTTTGTGAACTGGAACGGGATAGGGTGCTGGAACTGGAACTGCTACTTTATGAACAACTGGAACCTTGACTGGAACTGGCACGTGTACGGGGTAGGGTCTGTCAACAGGGACTGGTACGTTCTTGACAACTGGGACTGGGTAAGGCTTGGGTACGTGGACTGCATAGGGTTTGTCTACAGGGTATGGAACATGTACTTTGTATGGTACATGAACAGTACTTTCTACTGGTACTGGAACAGGTTGAGCTACTGGAATTGCTACTCGGTTCACGGATACGGTGTGGCTAACTTGATGATTATGAGATGATTGTAATCCAGCAACTCCTAAGCTGCTTCCGCCTAAACCGACGCCCGATAAACTGCCTCCCAAGCCAACTCCTGAAAATCCTCCGCTCAAGCCAAGTCCATGACCGCTGGAAAATCCTCCGTGGCTTAATCCATGCCCGGATAATCCGGCATCGCCTAAGCCCAGCAGTCCTCGTTTAGCGATTTTTTTATCATCTTCACCATAAACGGCGGCGGCAACAACAACCAACACTACCTAAAAATATTAAAATATAAAGAAATATGATTCAATTACTTATGATTTGTTGCGATAATTACTAGTACTAAATTAATGAACTCGTATTTATTATATGAATGAAATTTAATTCTTCAAATAAAAAATCTATAGTTGTTCGTATGTGGAATATAACTTATCAAATTATGAGATAATAAATAAAAACATAACTAACCAAAAACTTCATTTTGTTGTCTTAAGTTGTGATGAACTAAGAATGATGCTGATTCAGAAACTAAAATCTCTTTTATATACATTTTGTTGAGACATTCTGACGACTAGTTTTTGAAACAGTTGTGACATACCCAGTTCTTCATTGAGTTATTAGCAGTTGCATAAAAGTTGAGGCTATATTAGACCAGATTATTAGTTTTTGAAATATAATGCTATTTATATTATATATTTATTTTATAGAACAAGATTTTTTTGCAATATTAGTCAAATTATTTCACAGTTTGAATGTGAAAAAAATTAGGGTTAGAAATTATTTCGTTATATATGTATATACATTTTTGCATACAAATACTAATGATAATAATAACAGTTATTCTTATTATTATATTAAATAATTTGGATTAATGTTAAAAACTAGTGGTACATGGCATCGTGCCTTAAGGTAAATTGCTGGAACTTCCCGTACCAGAATTAATATTCGAAAAAAATTAATAATCAATAAATATTGATTATTAACAATTGTTTTAAATATTTTAAAAAAGATAATTATAGATACCATTATAGATATATTCGTTCATATAATGTACAGCGACGATCTTATCGCTCAAACACTTAAAAATGTTTACATTAAGAAGAGATCGGAATGAATCCATCTGAGGATATATTTCTTACGATTGCGATATCGCATATGAAATATATACATTTTTATAAAATCATAAAACTTTGCATATATTTGAAAATTTTGAAAGAAAAAAATCTGACAATTTTCAAATTTGTTTGAACCATATAAGTTAACTTTAAAAATTAAAAATCTTGGTACGGAACCCAAAAAAATGTAACGAAATTAGTACTCATGTTAAAAATCTTTATAAAATATTTGATAATTGATGTGCATATATCTAATGATCATTTTAGACCGCCAAATATAATTTTTTTTTACATTTTTCACTGTATATTCGAAACCGCTGGACTTGTCTTCCCATACTTTAAAACTGAATTATCATTTTTCGCACTTTTTGCCCCGTATTTTTGAAACGGCTGGACTTGTTTGGCCAAAAACTAATCACACTCATCATCAGTAGGAATCGAATGCTTTTTGAATAATTCAAATCGGTTGATCCATCGTGGCCCGAAATCGTGGACAAAAAATTGTATCCAAACATACATACATAAATACACACACACACTTACATCAATTTTTCAAGGTATTCAGAAACCTTTGAAACGTAAAGATATGCAAAATTTTTTATTTTCGATTTTTTGCGATTACTATAACTTACCATACGGTTACCATAAGTTATTAAAATCATTTTTAACTCTTTAAACATGTGTTTTTTTATAAAAGATTCATCTGGATTATCAAAAAAAAATCAATTATTGATTACAAAGAAACAATTTCCAACTGATATTTTTCGAACATTTTTTAAGCTTTTAAAATTAGTTCAGGATTATTTACGAAAACGTGTATAAAAATTTCTGCACTTTTTTCTCAATATTAAAAACGTCTTTGTCTATCTTCTCGCAAAGCTATTGAACGTGAGTTCTTTTCAAGTTTCAACAGAAACTTATGGAAATTTTGAAACACACACTCAACATTCATAAACATACTTTTTTAATATTGGTTTCAAATGATTCAGAATATTTTGAAACGTCGAGTAACACGAAATTAGCAACTCGGACTTTCTGACGAAAACAAACTTCTCTTTTGGAAAGGTAATTAACAATAATTGAAATTAATAATCAAATAAATTTGAGTGCATAATTATATACATGCTTTTGTATTTAAAAACTTTTGAATTAATTTTAAAACTACCACAGTGGTCATTGTGAAGCTTGAGCTATTTATTTTGTTATCAGTAGAAGCTTGGTGTCATTATCACATTTATATCTGTGCAATAACTATTAATATTGGTAGATTATTAGGTATATTAGAATTAGATTAATATTAAACTTTCAAAATTTTTAACAATATAAATTTTAGCTTTGAAGCTTTAAACTTGTATAAAATGCTATGCAAGCAGATCCTGAAAATTCAAATATTCATAATAATTACTAATTATATTTTATTTTATAGAAAATTTATTTATTTATCTAAACGCTTTCATTATCACATATTCATAGGTACTAATGTTAATATTAAAATTACTCTAGAAGTGGTGTGCGAAATGATGGTCGTGATGATCGTGGTGTAAGTGATGTTTTACTAAAACAGGTGTGTGTAC